CGGGGCGATGCCGTGCAAGGAGCACACCTGGGAGGCTCCATCCGGCCGCGCGCCCCGCTTTCTCCTCGGGCGGCGGCAGAGGAGTCCCCCCGCTATCTTCACTTCCCGGCACCAAACCCACCCGAGCTCGGGTCTCCTCCGCCCGCCCAGACTGCAGGCAGCCCGGAGCGCGCAGACAAGCTCGGCGGGCCGAGGCCCGGGCCGCACTGCGCCCCGCCCCGCCCCACCTCCGTCCCCCTAAAATAAATAAAAGGACACAGGGAACCCCCCCCCGCCCCTCCACATCCTGAGGAACTTTCCTTGCAGGACTTGGGGCTCCACCGAGCAGACAAGGAGGGACGCTTCGGTCCCGGGGAGCCCCGGTTGTCGCCGTGACCACGAGGAGATGCTCCTGGGGAAGGAGGGGTCCCCCAAGTCCTTCCAACAGCTGGCCCTTTAAAAGCACCACCTCGGAGCGTGGAACAAAGGCGCCGCCGCGGGGGGGGCGGCTGGGTGCTCCCCGAGAGCGTCGCCGCGGAGCGGACGACCGCGGCCCCCCGCGGGCGGACAGGCGGGAGGGCGGCTCGGGCTTACCTCACGAGTTCCCGGCGGGCCAGCAGGCGGGCTCCGCGCGTCCTGCCCCGCTCGCACTACACGCTGCCGTCGGCCCCGCTCTGTTTTTCTGGGACTAGGCGCTGACTTCACCGACACTCCGCGGCCGGCCAATGGGCTGCGGCGACCGGCCCCTCATTAGCATACCTCTGGAACCGTCCACTCTGGCAGCGCCCAAGGGGCGTGGCCTGTCCGGCCGTGACAGGAAGGGACGTGTGCGCCAATGGGAGGCGAGGAAGCGCCCGCCACCCCGCCCGCCGCATTGTGAGCCCGGCGCGGGCCCGCGGATCTCCGCTGATAACGCGCGCGCTCGCACCCCGTAACCCTTTCTGTCCTGGGCTTCCACGCCAAAGACCTGGCCGGCCTCGGGCCCTTCTGGTCCTCCTGAAGGGTCGCCACAAAGGGAGCTTGAAAGAAACCTTAGACACAAAGTGACAGCCAATGTGTCTTGACTGCATATGGGTTATTTAACCCTTGCACTCCAATTTGCACCATCTGCAGAATGGTCCCATAGTTGGGATTTTGTAGGATGTAGTGAAAATTAATTAACGTGTGTAAGGCTAGTTTAGATGACTGCCTGGCCATCGTGCTGTGTAAACGTGCTACTATAGTTATTAGGCTCTATACCAGGGTGTTTAATATTTCCGATTTATTTGATCATTTAAAAAAAATACCCTGGGCTGGGAAAGTGCTTCAGTGGTAGAGTGCTTGCCTGGCATGCATGAGGCCCTGGGTTCAATTCCTTAGTACCACATAAGCAGAAAAATCCAGAAGTGGTGCTGTGGCTCAATTGGTAGAGTACTACTAGCCTTGAGCTGAAGAGCTGAGGGACAGCGCCCAGGCCCAGAGTTCAGGCCCCGTGACTGGCAAAAAGAAAAAGAAAAAAAAATACCCTAACTTTCAACTGGAAAAACTGAGGTGTGTTTGAATGGCTTGCCGTGAAATACAACCAGGGCTTGCACTCAGGTCCTGAGGGTTTGGGGGGGGGGGGAGGTTTGGTTTGTTTGAGTTTTTTGTTGTTGGTTTTTTTTTTTTTCCCTCTGTGCAACCCCATGTATTCAGGGTTCAGCAAATGTGGATAATGCTCTTGCCCTTAGGAAGCTTCTGTTTCAGTGGGAAAGAGGGACAGATAAGCAATTATGAGCGCCTGCAATACGAAAAGTAGAGCAAGTGAAGTGCAAATGAAAGGAAAGGCACTGTTTTATCGTTCCCCTGACCTTCTCCAGTCCCCTTCAGAATTACCAAACAAGAAACAGGGAGGGGAGCCAGATCACAGAACCAGCAAATAACTGATCTGGAACTTGCTTCCTTCACACTCAGCTTCCCACATCCTCAGAATATCCTCAAGGTAACCCGTAGCCCTTCAGACTGAGCACAATTGATCCTCTTCCTTTGCCCTTGTTGAGACTCTTCACGGAGAGCCATGTTCCTGGTTAACAGTCTGCATGACACAGAGTAAGAATGGGGCATGATGACTGCACGGGCTGATGCGAAACCCATTATACAAGTTCTTAGATGTCAGGAAACAATGACAAGTCTTTGCTGGGCACCCACTGTCACCTATCTATATTTTAAAAAAAAAATATTGAGCATGGTGGTTCATTCCTGTAGTCCTGGCTACTTGGGAGGCTGAGATTAGGAGGATCATAGACCAAGGTAGCCAGCCTGTGCAAATAGTTTACTGACCCATCTCAACCAATTAAAAGGTGGACACAGTGGTGCACTTGTCACTCTACCTACACTGAGAATAGCCTTAAACAAAAAGTTAACCCCTATTCAAAAAATAACAAAAGCAAAGAGGACTTGGGATGTGGCTCAAGTGATAGAGTGCCTGCCTAAACAACCACAAGACTTTGAGTTCAAACCTTATTATTCCAAATAAATAAATAAAATATCTGGGAGCTCGGCTGGGAAGGTGGCTCAGTGGTAGAGTGCTTGCCTTGCATGCCTGAGGCCCTGGGTTCGATTCCCCAGCACCACATAAGCAATAAGAAAAAAGCCGGAAGTGGCGCTATGGCTCAAGTGGTAGAGCGCTAGCCTTGAGCTGAAGAGCTGAGGGACAGTGCCCAGGCCCAGAGTTCAGGCCCCATGACCGGACCCAAAAATATATATATATATCTGGGAACTTACTCTATAACCAAGGAGATATAAAGACAGTAGAGAAACTACTAAACATTCAGCCTATACCTCTTCCCACCACCCTACTTTATCCTACAGCTCTTCAAAGAACATGCCCCAAGATCTGCTTGCAATTTACACCACATTTGGGGTAAAACAATTCTTCTCTGCAGTAACAAAACAGTGAATATGTATCACATGTATCTACTCTAAGTACTGTGCTGTCTGTGCTGAGCTTCACATAACCACCACATAACAAGAGCATTAACACTATCATATGCTTGCCACAAAGCAGGAGAATAATCAATAGAGATACTAAATGAATTCTTGCCCAGCAAATACTAGGCAATATCATTTAGAACCATTTTTAAAACTCAAAACAATCTGAATGCTCTATTTGTTGGCTTAAAAAAATAACAGTACAGGGGGCTGGGAAGGTGGCTCAGTGGTAGAGCACTTGCCTTGCATGCATGAGGCCCTGGGTTCGATTCCTCAGCACCACATAAACAAAAAGAAAAAAGCCGGAAGTGGCACTGTGGCTCAAGTGGTAGAGCGCTAGCCTTGAGCTGAAGAGCTGAGGGAAAGTGTTCAGGCCCAGAGTTCAGGCCCCACGACCAGACCCAAAAAATAAATAAATAAAATAACAGTATAAACATTTGACAGGATATCATGCAACCATAATAATAGAAATAAATTAAAGCCAGGCACCAGTGGCTCATGTCTGTAATCCTAGCTACTAGGAGGCTGAGATCTGAGGACCATAGTTCAAAGCCAGCCCAGGCAGGAAAAGCCATGAGACCTCAAATAAACCACCAGAAAACCAGAAGTGGCACTGTGGCTCAAGTGGTAGAGCGCTAGCCTTGAGCTGAAGAGCTGAGGGACAGCACCCAGGCCCAGAGTTCAGGCCCCACGACCGGACCCAAAAAAAAAAAAAAAAAAAAAGAAAGGAAAGAAAGAGAGAGAGAGAAAGAAAGAAAGAAAAAAGAGAAATTCAATTAAAGTGAGTTTAATAAAAATGAAGAGGGAGGGTTGGGAAGGTGGCTCAGTGGTAGAGTGCTTGCCTTGCAAACATGAGGCCCTGCGTTCGATTCCTCAGCACCACATAAGCAGAAAAGGCCAGAAATGGCACTGTGGCTCAAGTGGTAGAGCGCTAGCCTTGAGCTAAATTGCTGAGGGAAAGTGTTCAGGCCCAGAGTTCAGGCCCCACGACCAACAAAAAAAAATAAAGAGGGGGAAGTGGAAGTGTAGCTCAAGTAGTAGAGTGCCAGCCTTGAGTGAAAAAGCCAAAAGCCAAGCAACAGTGTAAACAATGTGAGGACCTCAGTTCAAGCCCCAATACTGGTATACACACACACACCACACACACACACACATACACACACACAGAGGAATAATTGGTACCCCCTTTTTTTTGAGATAAGGTCTCCCTGTCACCCAGGCTCCTCCTGCCTCAGCCTTCCATGGAGCCATAACTGTAGGCCTTTGCCACTGTACCTGGCTACTGACACTAATACTCATAAATGCTTACAGTTGAATGAAAAACAATGGTTTAATACTAACTTTTCTAATCCCATTAGAATTTTTCTTATTAAATTATGAATAATCATTTTTTACCCATCTATATTTTTCTAAATTTTTCTTTAAAATAAAAATAAGGCATTTTTGTGGTTGTTGTTTGCTCATGGGGCTTGAACTCGGGGCCTGGCTGGGTGTTGTCCCTGAAACTCTTTTGTTCAAGGCTACTGCTCTACCACGTTGAGCCACAGAGCCTCCATTTTCAGTTTTCTGGTGATTATTTGCAATAAGAATCTCACCGAAAGGAGTGTGTGGAGAATCTCACCGACTTTCTTGTCCTGACAAGCTTTGAACCATTATCCTCAGATCTCAGCCTCCTGAGTAGCTATTATGCGAAGTAATTTTAAAAGGCAAAGCAGATTCCATCTGGAGAAATTCAACCTACAATCAAGGCCATTACTATAAGTGGAATATTACCTCATGGAATTGAAGTCTTTAAGATATCCCTTTGCTGGCTCCAGTCTCTTCTGAAAGGATAGAAGGGAAAGGAAGGGGAGGGGAGGGTGGGTAGGGAGCAGGGGGAAGAGTAAGAAAAGCCCTGCTGTTTTTCAAGACTCATCTCAAACATCTTCTCCAAGAATCATCAAAATCATGGTCTAATAATTTCAATGATGAAAGCAACCCAAGGCCAGTCGTCATTGTTTCATCTGGGTAGCAGGCTTGGTGCTAGGGACACCATGGTGAGAGCAAGACCTGGCTCCCAGCTTCCCACATATGATCATGAGTGTGAAGAAGCAGAGCCCCAGGACCGGGGGAAGGAGAGGAGGAAAATGGGGAGGTGGGGAGCACAGGAGCAAGCAGCCTGTGCTAAGAAAGGGCCCACACGTGGTTAACCACTCTGCTTGTCCCATCTTGGAATTCATTTTCCAACAAAGGACCCTGAATTTTCTCTTTGTATAAATGATGTGGCCCATTGGAAGAAAGGCCTCTGGGCGTGCACTGACAGAGCTGGAGAGAAGCCTGCGGCTGCCCATTCTCCTTCACAAGGTCGCTTTTATTCCTGCTTCCCCAAGAAAATGGGAGGAGGATTCCTGTTTTCCAGCCCTCTTGTACTTTATTTCTTCCTTTACCATGGAACCTACCATATTTGGCCTGAAATAATGTTTATTCCTGTGTAGTTTTGTTTTGCATTCCCTTGCTGCTCCAGATTGTAAATTCCATAAGGTCATGTCTTGTGTCTGCTTATCACAAACAGTGCTCAGTACTGTGCTTCACACACTGCTAGAAATGTGCTTAAGTTTACAGTAATTTAATCTTATTAGTAATTCTTCATTTCTCTTCATGTGTATCAGATTATTCCCAGCAGTCTTCCCACTGTTGGAGAGAAATAAAAATACAGAGCAGGAAAGTTGTACACACAAATCCGGA